TCTTAAACATGCACATGTGTTAATAAACTTACCTTACTGAGGTTTTTCTGCCCTAGTAAACCACTTGAGGAAGTTTTAAAAATATTTGTGTATATACACACATATGCACACATATAAAATATTATCTACTAAAAAGACTATAATAACATAAACTAGACAAATGATCTAAATATACAATGTTAGTTTAGCTTTTTGGACCTCAGAGAAAAGGTGGCAGACACAGAATTTTCCACAAAGTGCTACCATTTTTATCTCAATTGGCGTTGCAGTCAATCATCATTCTCTTTCAACTCTGTAAACAAAAGGACACTACCATTTTCACACTTTGTTAACACAAAAGAAAAAATGAAACCTGTGTAAGCTACATGGTTGGCCATGTCAGTGCAGTTCCAAGTTTACTGGAAAGCAACCACATGAAACGCATGGGAACAACTGCAGCACTAGACACAGACAGTTATAAGAGGGCTGGCTGGCAGAGACACAGTGGAGGCACACCGTAAGCCTAAAGGAAATGTGCAGTGGATGGAACAGAACAGAGTTCATTCCCCATGGTAAGCGGCTTACATGCTTTTTGAATACTATAACGGACAGCTCTTTTATTACAAATGATAGAAGGCTATCACTTTAGTAACAATAACATGTTCCTTTTTAGAGTACTGAAACAAATTCTGTTTTTTTTTCTAACTTCTAAGTATGTTTGGGTTAGAACTGATTATGTCTGTATATGTAAGACTCTGAAGGAAATCAAACTGGACAATATGCCTAAAGTATATTTCATTTTAACCTCTGATATCTCCAGTTTAAGACTATAAACAGACACACACTAGGAAACCAGGTGTTCATTCAGAAAAGAAAATTATTTTCTTGGGAATCTGCATCTGTATTGGAAAAATGGGGAGAAGAACAAAACTTCCTGTGTGTTTTATACATCAGTACTCCAGAAAACCCATTATTTAAGTAACAGTTTGTTATGGGTCAACTTTTCAAATTATTTGAAAAATTCCTAAATGCATTGTTATTTCTTGTGAATATATACTTCCAAATGTAAACAGTAAATTCAAATGTATTTCAATGCATGTGTTATTTTTGCAAAACCTTAACACATATAAACCCCCAAAGGAAGAGCATTTTGTCATGTTACTTTTAACAGTTTTGAAGAAATATTAGAAAAGGTGGCTAAATAGCGAAGTTTCTTTAAAGAGACCGCAAAGTTTTTGTCTCTTCTCAAAACAACTTGCTGTAGATTCAGATTTTATATGTATTTATTAAGTTAAAATTAGTGAAAACCAGGAAAATTAATGAAAGCACACTTCTTTTTAATAAACCCTAATAAGCTCAGATTCTTGTATTTTTCCAAAGTGTTTTTTAGATTATATCCATTTCAGTCTGCCTAACACTCATTTATATGCCAATACAAAGAGCTACACACACCCATGTATAAACATTAATAAATGTAATACTGTTATTTATCTGCAAAAATACACTGTGCGTATTTTAAACATACACCTGTGGAATAATGTATGTCCTGGTTAAGCTGATGGAAACAATTTAAAGATCTGAGAAAGAGGTTTACTAATGTTCATTGTTTTTTGGTTCTAACATTTAACTCATATTGTATCATAAGGCGCATTTCCTTTATATGTAGTAAGAGAATAGAAATTGCCACGCGCAAATGAGAATTATGCCACTTCTAACACATGGATAAGACATTCATTCCAGTCTTATAACAGAAATTTACTTTCCATAGCCTTTAAATATAAACTTGTCGAGTAATAGAAAAAAATGATTTACATCTTAAGTATTAAACCTGAAAGTACTTATTCATTTATGACATACTATGTTTCCTGTAGATACCTGCAATTCTATTTATCTCATTATACAGTTGTATATTAAAATTCCCCTATATCAATGGGCTTCCAGCCAATTATTCTCGACTGATTTACATTTTGATATGACTGATATAAAAATTAACAAGAATAGTAATAATAGCTAATATTTTTTTAAGTGGGTTTGGAAATAGATTCTAAAATTAAAAGGGGAGGATTTAAAGTGACATTACAATACTGGCTACCATATATACACATTATCCTGAATTTTAAAACAGAAGTGTTTTCACATATGTGCAAGAAATTATTTCTAAAACAAGAGAGAACTCTTTTCAAAAACTGTATTTTAAACTACTGCTATGCATATACTGTAACATGAAAATAATGTATTTTCCATTTATATACAAACTGACATGCATTCGGTGGTTGTTACCATATGGCATAGTTATATTTCACACCTTAATTGAGACAATCATTTCCAAAAGACAAACCTAATCCAGCAAAAGATTTCTATCAAAATTCCTTTGTCTGAAAAAATCCGTTATTTTAGTATTAACTCTCAGAACAGCTCTACCAATATTTTAATCTAGGAGAATATGCCTATGAGAATGTATGCTAAACTGGAGAAAATTAAAGAATATATTGAGAAAGATATTTTAATTGTAATAAAACTTAAGTCCTTAGTATTACTGCAAACACTGTACTTTAAAAAAGTATATTGGTAATTGTAATTCAGGTTCTATTCCAATGAATTTGTATTAATTTTATACTTTGCTGATGGCATGTTGTTTATCTTCTGATAACATCTTACATTACTTTTAGTGGGAAACATAAAATTGTCAAAAAAACAAAAAATTTACTAATGACATCGAGAGAAATCTATACATAGGAGAATAATTTTTGCCCTTAGAGACACTATAATCTTTGTACTGAGTTTTTATATACTTGAAATTTTTTCCAAAGATTTAAGATTTTGCCTGATAAAACACATAGGAATTCTTTTCTTGCAAGAAAAGCAAATGGCACATCTGCATGAATTTATCATATTTTTTTAAATTTCATAGTTTATTCAGAAATCTAACATGAAGTACAAAGGTTCACTACCATTTCTCCTCTCCTCAGAAAACAATGTTACTAACTTTCCAAATAATCAAGGATGCAGGAGAAGCCTTCCAAAAATACTGTAAATTACCTACAAGAGACTAACTTAGCCCTACAAAATCTTCTACTAAGCTCTTTTTTTGTGAAATAAATGTTATTTGAAAACACATCTTAAATTTCCGTTGTTAAAAAATAAATTTTAAATCTTCCAAAGAAAACAAATTGTGGTTTTCTAATTCCTGTTTTTGCCTATTTATTCCCTTTCTTGTCTCCAGTGAATTTCTGACCCTGATAATTGAGTTATTGTAATTTTAGGAACGCATTTACTCCAGATGTCCTCTGTACTGTAAGAATTTTTAATGCAATATTTTGTCATGGTATGTTCAAGAATAAAAGGTTGTATTTTCCTCGATCTTAAAAAGTCATTGTTTTCCCCAATGGTGTGACAATACATTCCCTCTGATAGAAATATTGATGAATTGTCAGTTAAAAATAATACTTTATAAATGTGTAAACTGAATACACTGACTCCTTTTTAAAGAGCCACCTCTTTGACACAAAATTCAAGCCAGTCATTTGACTTCTCACTTTACAGGCCAGCCTACTAAAACATTAAAAGAAATCAAAGTACAATTCCTTAATAAGAGTAATTTTGAAGCATCTTTAGGGTAATTCTTACTCATCTGTTTCAAAATATTCACTTGGGGCATCCTGCCAATTAAATGAAAACCTACAGATGGCATTTACCCTTTTGCTTCATAACAAAAAGGATCTGCAATCCTTTTCATGGAAGATTATATAAAAAGGAACATTATTGTAAATCAATGACAAAAGAAATATATTAGACACTCCTCTTCTCTGGGTTAGAATGTGCATCCTTCAGAATCTTGTACTGACACTTAATGTAATAAATACTTTAAGCTGAATCTTAATTAATAGCTGCAGGGTTTCAGCTGGTATAAAGATTCAGTGTTAGTATCAACCGAAAACTCCAGTATTCAGCACTCGGCCAACAAAGGACAGCAAATAATTCCCAACAGCATAAATACCGGGAAGGCTACCTTGGGCTTTGTTTTTGTTATGTAAAATGCATTAAAGTGACTCATCCATTTAACATTACCTACTCTTAGAAGCTTTAATGTAGCTTCAAGAACCAAAATAAATGCTTTCCCAAAATGCCTGATAGGCTATTCAGCGCCTTTAGAAATATGTACGTATTTTTGTGTGCCATTGACTTTGATTCCTTTTTTCCAGCCTGGAAGAACAGAATTTAGTATTTTTCATTCCCTTCCTGCCGTGTGACTACATAGCTACCTTTAAACACTATTTCCAGAACAGCTGCTAGTTTTTTTAAGTTATTTTAGAAATGCTAAAAATAAGAAAAAATTGCAGGAGACTCTGGAAACGTTCAATCCCTCCCTCAAAGAATAGGTTCTATTCATTCTAAGAACAGGAAATGCGTGTCTGTCAGCACTTAGATGTTTCAAATAAAGGGTGAGGAGGATGGATGACTCGGTCCCAGTACCAGCGAGCCCCTGGGTGGACAGCAATCGGCTGCGAGGAGCGTGCACTCTACTGATCAGAAAGGCTGCAAAGCGTGCCCAGTAATTTGGAGTTTGGACACTACAGCAATTAGCATCCCAGAAGTCAAGTTCGGGAGAAGTCCACGCTACCCTGGCAAGCCTGAAATTACCTTTTTGTAAAACACTTAACCAAAATAACTTTTTGTTGAACTGTGTTTGATGAAGGCGGGTTACCTGGCTGGAAACTTTTCCCCCCAGTACAGATCAACTCTTGTAAGTCTGAGGAATCCTTCTGGAGATGGGCACAGGCTCCGGGGGCGTCGGCGGACGTTCCCCGGACAGCCGGCCCCGCCGAGGCGCCGAGCCGTGGGTTCGGCGCGCCCTCGGCGGCGAGCCGCGCGCACCTCCCGCTCGGCCTCTCCAGATCCAGCCCGGCTCACTTCCCCACCCCCACGAAAGAAAAGCCCCGCAACTCGGGGACCGACCCCGCGCCCAGCCCCCGCGGCACCCCTCGGCCCGCACTCCCCGCCCCGCTTGGCCGGCGACTTACGTGACGGCCGAAGGGAACGGCTCTTCCGACGAGGGACCGAGCAGCAAAGATTGGAAAAGTGTCAGAGTCAAGGCCAGCAGGCAGCCAGCAGCCATCTTCGCGATCGACGATCAATCCCGCCTCCCTCCCCAGCCGGGGGAAGGAGCGGCGCCGGGAGCCGCGGCAGGAGAGCAGCACGCTCCGCGCGGACCGCGGCGGCCGGAGGGCTAGCGCGCCGGGCCGGGGCGCGACTGTCGCGGGGGGCGGCGGGGCGCAGCCGCGCGAGGAAGGGGTGGCGGGCGGACCACTACCGCGCGGAGGCTGCTCGGCGCCGCGGCCGCCTCGCCTCCGCCGCCATCAAGGGCGACTTTGGAAACAGACCTGGGCGAGCCCGCCGGCGCTCGCGCTCGCGCGCTGTCTCTTTCTCCGCGGTTTCCTCCCTGATTTATTCCCCCGATTGCCGAGGAGAAGGCGGGGGCGGGGGCGGAGGACGGGTGACGGCGCTCGGGAGGGGTGGGGGTGGATGCCGAAACGGGGGAATGGCAGGCGGAGAGACTTGTGGCCGGGAGAGGCTCCGTCTGGCTTCTCCGGGCAAGTCGGAGGGAGGCGGCTGTGGGTGGGCAGCGGGAGGGCTGGGCGTCAGAGCGGTCGGGCGGAGACGGGCCCGGAGCAGCCCTCCATACAAGGCAGAAAGGAACTCCCAAAGTCGGCGTCGGCTGGCTCCCGCCGCCCGGCGTGCGGAGGGGAGCGGACCCAGCCCTGCAGGGCTCCCGGGGGACAACCAGCTGCCCAGCGGGCATCCACAGGCTGCAGAGGCTCCGGCCGAGTACTTGGCTTACATCTTCGGGGGTTATTTTTGCACATGCAAGCAGCGTTTCCCCAAGCTCTTCTCCCAGGCGCAGAATCCACCGCCTGCCTAGGAATCGCGGGGAAGTGATTTGACAACAAATGTAGGAGGGGTTTGTATTTGCATTTTAAAGCACCACTTTTGACTCTCTACCAGGTGGCACTATTTATTCACCCGGGAGTGGCTGGCATGGCTCACCAGGGGAGGATGAAGCCTCAGGACCCGGGAACAGTCAGAGTAGGATCTGATGCTGTAAAATCTTTCCGGTCCTGCCGTCCAGTAAGACACCGAGATGGAGAGACGAATCCTCCGTCCAGGGAGGACAGCGCTGCTAGAAGGGCTCTGTAACATCCTAGCGAGATTACCTCCAAAAGGTTCCAAACACCCTGCTCTGGCCACGGAGCAGCCCTTCCTTGACAAGGTTGCTGCAGGGTGAGTTCACTTTGTCAGTGTGAAGGCAGGGAAAGGGTAAGCAGCACGAACAGGTGGCACTTTGCAAAATGCATTGAAATGTGGAGAAGGAATTAAGGGAGGAGGAAAGAGCTAGGGAGTAGGAATGCTGGACCAGTTTCACCTCCACCCCCAGGAAAAGCAGGGCATGCTCAAGCCTTCTACAAAGAACGGAGGGTCTTAGATTAGGCCTCCCCAGGCTAAACAGGCCTCCTTCATGAGAGAACTAGAGCGCCAGGGGTGGAAAGGTTTCGCTGAACATCTCAAAAGTCTTAATTTCCCTGTAGGAGTGTATTACAGCACTTCTAACATGAGGTGCAAAGAACCCCATTCCTTACCTGGAAAAAAAAAAAGATCGTCCTGCAAACGATGTAATTTTGGAGTGGCTGTAAGATTTTTTTAATTAGCCCTTCTTCAGTTTCAGGACGGGCTTATGAAAAGAGAAAGACCCTTTATTAATTCAGAATTGACTTTCAGCTCTCTGAAGTCAACCTCCCAAAACAGACAAAAGCACTAATAGCAAAATTTGTAAAGTACATATATGATTCTTGACCCAGTGATGGTCCTTCCCCCTTACCTCTCCTTTTTTGTGCCGTATTTGTTTTCTTTATAATCTCTACCTCTATCTTGCTCTTTGTTTCTTTCTTCCTACTCTGAGTGGCCTCACAAAAGGCACCCCACAGTGACTTGACTTAGTTTGTTTTATGCTCAGCAAAGAGAGAGTGGCGACGGGAGCAAATGAGAGACTCTAATGGGACTGAGAACCACAGTTCTCCGGGAGGAAATTTAGGTAACAAAATAGTTAAGTCCATCATTTTTCTTTCAGTTTTTAATGATTCAAAAGCAGATTTTCTTTCCCAGCATGGGGATTAAGAACAGCTGAATTAGATGCCCATTATCATCTATGTGATATGTTGGTATAATAGCTTCACGACATAAAACTACTATTATAATATATTCTGTCAATTATTTCAATAATGACTTCAGACTTCCTACTAAGGTATACCATTTACAATTTTATATCTTTAAGAGCTTAAAGAATAAAAGAATGTAATAAACTTCTAGAGAAGGTAAGAGCCTTCATTATTAACTTCGTTGGCCTTTAAGCCAAATCTCAATTTCTTGGACTCACTCCGATGAAGCACTGTATTTCTCTAATATCTGAAGCTGCTAAAGAAAGATATTGCTTCTACAATTCTTTCTGAAAGGGCTGGTTATCAAACGTAAGCCTAAATCATTGCTTAATGTTCTGTTGTGAGGTTTGCTATTAATTGCTTTTTTCCAACCTAAACCTTTTTAATGAAGATATTCAAACTGTGGCTCTTCTTTCTTATGTATGGTATCTAAAACAAGACCATTTTCTCAGCATAGCATTATTTGTCTATTGGTTCAACTTTAGCCTGCACTGCATTGTTTCCATTATTTTGGAACATTCCATATAAAGCATATATTCCATTATTTTAATAAAATTTTGCTAAATCAACAAAATTTTCCATTCAAAATAAAATGTTTATAAATTATCAGGATTGATGATAAAACTTCTATTATGGGATGCAAGTGAGCAAGAAGTCAGAATATTATTCTTTATAGAAGAAGTATTCTAATAAGTAGAGATGAGTTAAGAGGTGCAGGTGTTTGTGTTTAATTTCTAGAAGAAAGTTTAAAGATTAAGTTCATACATAGCACTTCCACTTGTGACACATTTTATGATTTGTAACTTAGCTCTCAGTGTTGTTACATGGAAATGTTCAATTTGTTCATACATATTTTTTTTAATTAAAAATGAACAAAACAATATGAACCTAATAGCCATGAAATGTCCCTCTACTACCTTTTTGTTTTGGTTATACTACGTATACTGGTAGATTAAGATTCTATTTTTGTTTATTTTTGTAATTATGTATAAGCATGTTTTTCTATGATTTTTTTTTTCGGTAACTAAAATGTAATTCCTTCAACATTTTGGCATAAAGAGGAGGACAAAGTAACCAAAATTTTTTTGTTTTTTTGCTCTCATGAACAAACACACAGAGACACTAAAATGGAAAATAATTCTCCTTGGCCAAAAAACCTTAAAAGGATTAGATTTATAGGTGTTTTTTTGACATGTCTTAAGAAAACAAGAAGAAAACTGACAACAGGCCTTGTTTCTATGCAAATAGGAGTTTATGACTTGTCTCAGAGATAAAGATATACTGTAAGAGCCATAATCAGCAATACTTGTGATCTGAGGCAGTTTCGTGCTCCTGTGCACACACGCATGTGTGCCAGAGGAAGACAAATGGACAGAAAGCTTCAACTACTGATGTCCTTGGGAATATTTTCAGGAGATGGCAATAGGAGGAAAACAACTCAAAAGTATCAGTTCCCAAGGGAAATGGTTAAGGGTGTGTGTAGTGGTTTTTAAGTCAGGCATTCACATTATTTTTAGGCATTTGCATTATTTTTAAAGTAAAGCAGCACACAGGCCATCCGAAAAGAACAAGGAAAAGACATTGTCTTAGGTGAAAAAAATATGGTCAAATACTTTCTACAAATAAGACAAATATTTAGAAGACATTTTTCTGTAGCCCAAGTAACAGCAATTGACAGACACTGCACTGAACTTTTGAGGGAAGGAACACCTTTTTCTAAATGGATTCAAAGTAACATTAAACAAGTACTTGTTGGAAGTTTCTTATTGGCCCATCAGACCCATTTTGGCAAACTTCTGCTAACTTAAGTATTTAGAACTACCAGCTGTTAAATTAAATAACACTGACTCTTCAACCAAGCAATAGCTATTTTTCACTCTCCACTAATTATAGGATTTTTCATTCCTTTTTGTTTTATTTTTGCTTTTCCTCTCCTCTTCCATTAAAGACAAGTACATGTCAGAAGAAAATCATCAATTACAGAGTAATTTTCCATTAAAGAAAAAAAAGCAACTCTGAAATCTAGACTTCATAGTAAGATCCCCTGTCCTCCATAAATAGAGCTGGAAAGTTTTTGTGGTTGTTTTCAGATTTAAGTTACAGCACAAAGTATATGGAACCCATTTCCTTAGGCCTATGCAGACAAAGGAAGTAGAGAACTTAGTTTCTTATCCAAATATTCACTAATAGCAAAAATACAATGGGAAGTGGTTATTGAAAGGTAGATGGTAACATTTGAAATGACAGAAACTATTAACTTTTAGCACTCTTTCCAGTTTTTTAAATTTTATGGATACAGCCTCCCATGAGAAAGACCATTTATTGATATTATTCTTCTGACACTGGGTTATTAATATTGTTTAAGCACTATAAAACTTATTATAACCTAACATATTTCAACAAGAATTTGGATATGCTGTGAATCAAATTCACCTCATGTACAGATAATATACAATTAATCTACTAGTTGAGTGTCCATAGAAGTACCACAAAAGGGTGTTCCTAGGAATTTCTCCCTCTGCAGTAATGAGCATGGGAGAGAAAACAGAGAGTAATGATTTTATTTGGTAACCCCATATTTTAGATTTAAATAACTAAAATGCCTACCATTAAACAAGCATGACTACATGGACATATCAGTAAACTTGGAGTTAAAATCCTATATTCCATTGAGAGATGACACTAATATGATCTTCCATATGAGGGATACAAACTTGCAAGTTTGGTATTTTGAAAACATCTGAAAATCAATATAGAGTAAATATTTTTATATGGTAATAATATTTTCTTCAAGACATAAAAGGTGGTGCGGGTATAATTTCTAGCAGTTCCTCATAATTTTGGGGGAAGAAAACTGATGCCTAATCAGTTGGTGGATATTGTTTATTCTATCTAATAGTCTATTGTTTTTTCATAATTGAATCAATAAT